TTCTCCAGTTAAAAAACACAGAATGGGGGCCGGTGCCATGGCCCACCAGATTAATCCTCCACCTTCGGCGCCACCATCCCATATGGGTGCTGGTTCTATTCCTGGTTGTTGCTCTTCCAGTCCAGCTCTCTGCTGTGGCACGGGAAGGCAGTGGAAGATGGCCCAAGTACTTGGGCCCCTGCACCTGCATGGGAGACCAGGAAGAAGCACCTGGCACCTGGCTTCGAATCGGCACAGCTCCGCCTGTTGTGGCCATTTGGAGAATGAACCAACAGAAGGAAGACCTTTCTCTCTGTCTCTCTCTCTGTCTGTAACTCTACCTGTCAAATAAATAAATAAATAATCTAAATTAAAAAATAAATAAAAAATAAAAAAGACACAGAATGACTTAATGGATTAAAAAACAAAACCAATGTATTTGTTTCCTACAAGAAACACATCTCACCAACAAAGATGCACGCAGACTGAAAGTGAAAGGACAGAAAAAAATATTCCATGATAACAGAAACGAAAACAAGCTGGTGTAGCCATCCTAATATCAGACAAAATAGACTTTAACATAAAAACTGTTAAAGGAGACAAAGACTGACACTATGTAATGATTAAGGGATCAATTCAATAGGAAGATGTAACTACAATGATAATTACAAAACATTAAAGAAAGAAATAGAAGAAGATATCAAAAAATGGAAAAATCTGGGGCCAGCACTGTGGCTCACTTGGTTAATCCTCCACCTGCGGCACCGGCATCCCATATGGGCACTGGATTCTAGTCCTGGTTGCTCCTCTTCCAGTCCAGCTCTCTGCTGTGGCACGGGAAGGCAGTGGAAGATGGCCCAAGTACTTGGGCCCCTGCACCTGCATGGGAGACCAGGAAGAAGCACCTGGCCCCTGGCTTCAAATCAGCACAGCTCCACCTGTTGTGGCCATTTGGAGAGTGAACCAACAGAAGGAAGACCTTTCTCTCTGTCTCTCTCTCTCACTGTCTATATCTCTGTCAAATAAATTTTTTTAAAAAATGGAAAAATCTTCCATGTTCATGGATTGGAAGAATCAATATCATCAAAATGTCCATTCTTTCAAAACCAATTTACAGATTCAATGTGCTACCAATCTAAATACCAAAGACATTCTTCTCAGATCTAGAAATAATCATGCTGAAATTAATACGGAAACATAAGAGATCTTGAACAGATAAAGCAATCTTATACAACAAAAACAATTCCAGAGGCATCACAATACCAGATTTTGAAACATACAAAACACCTTGGTACTGGTACAAAACAGATGGATAGATCAGTGGAACAGAATAGAAATGCCAGAAATAAGACCAAGGATCTCCAACCAACTTATATTTGAGCAAGGAGCTAAAAACAATCCCTTGAGCAATGACAGTCTCTTCAACAAATGATGCTGGGAAAACTGGATTTCCACATGTAAAAGTATGAAACACAGCCTCTACCTTACACCTTATACAAAAATGCACTCAAAATGGATTAAAGACCTAAATCTATGACCTGATACCATCAAATCATTAGAAAACATTGGAGAAACCCTGAAACACATTGGCACAGGTAAAGAGTTCTTGGAAAAGACTCCAGAGGCACATGCAATCAAAGCCAAAATTCACAAATAGAATTACATCACATTTAGAATCTTCTGCACTGCAAAAGAAACATTCAGGAAACTGAAGGGGCAACCAACAGAATGGGAGAAATTACTTGCAAAGAATACAACTGATAATGCATTAATAACCAGAACATATAAAGAGTTCAAGAAACTCCACGACAAGAAAACAAACAACCCAGTGAAGAAACTGGCAAAGGTCTTAAACAGACATTTTCCAAAAGAAGAAATCCAAATGGCCAACAGACACATGAAAAAATGTTCAGGATCACTAGCCATCAGGAAAATGTAAATCAAAACCACAATGAGGTTTCATCTCACCCCAGTTAGAATGGCTTTCATACAGAAATCAATAAACAACAAATGCTGGTGAGGATGTGAGGGAAAAAGGTACCTTAATCCACTGTTGGTGGAAATGTAAACTGGTAAAGCCACTATTGAAGTCAGTTTGGAGATACTTCAGAAATCTGAATATAGATCTAGCATATGACCCAGCCATCCCACTCCTGGGAATTTACCCAAGGGAAATTAAATCAGCAAAGAAAAGAGTTATCTGCATCCCCATGGTTATTGCAGCTCAGTTCACAATAGCTAAGACATGTAATCAACCAAAATGCCCATCAACTGAAGATTGGATAAAGAAATTATGGGATATGTACTCTATGGAATACTACACAGCAGTAAAAATAAATGAAATCCAGTCATTTGCAACAAAATGGATGAATCTGGAAGTGAAATAAGCCAGTCCCAAAGGGACAAATACCATATGTTCTCCTTATCTGTGATAACAAATAGAGCACCTAAAAGGTAATCTGTAGAAATAAAATTGACACTTTGAGAAGCAATGACTTGAACAGTGCTTGTCTTGACTGTCAAGGAACAAGTTTTTTTTTTTTCTTAATGGAGAATGGGACTGGGAATGGGAAAGGGAGGAGGAGGTGGGGTAGGAGTAGTAGTGGGAGGGCGGATATGGTGGGAAGAATCACTATGTTCCTAAAATTGTACTTATGAAATTTGTACTCATTAAATTAAAGGTTTCTTTGGGGAAAAAAACTAACGGAATTAGATGGGATTCACTTGTATAATCTCCATGATCTTAAACTCAACTGATTAAGACTTTAATTACATCTGCCACATCCCTTCATAGTGGCATCTATATTAGAGTTCAGATGAATAGCTGGAAGAAAGCACCAGGAACTTGGAATCTTGGGGCCCATATTAGAATTGTGCCTATCACAATCACCAATGCTGAGTGTAACCATTTACATAAAGCATATCATTAAAATGAAAAAAGAAATATCAACCAATTGCTTTAATGTTTACTTATAATATTATTTCAGATATTTTGCTCATTTACATAGCTCATTCTACAAGCTAGGAAAACTAGAGAAAACTCTGGGGAGATAACGAAAAAATAAAGTAATAGATTCAAAATGTGGCCTTAGACATATTGAAACTCTTAACATCTCAGTAGTAACACATAAAGTGAAGGTGATCTTTCAATCTTTCTTACCCTAAAGTGCTTAAGACTTAAGGATCTGGATTTAGATTAACTGGGACCCAACTCCTGATCACTAAGGATTAACTGTGAAACTTTGTTCAAGTTACTTAACTCTTTTAAACATCAACTTCTCTACCTATAAAATGGGGGATAATAGTAGCATCTTCCTCCTATAGTGTGTGGATCAAGTTAAATAATATATGTAAAGTAGTTAATACAGAACCTACCACCTAATAAGCACTAACTTAATTATAGCAATTATTATTTTATCATTAAATGATATAATATTTCACAAAATATAAAGGAGTATTCTAATGTAACATATTATCACTAGGTATACATAAATTACATACTATTAAACAGGTACATCATACATATGTTAGACATGTTTTTGTGTAGTATGTGTACATATTATATAGTTACTAAAGTATTGTCTTAATTTTGCAGTTGAAATTACCATTTATCTCCTTCTCTGTCACTTTCCGTGTAAGCATATCAATGTCTATTTCCAAGATAAAACATAAAGAGAACTGATCATTGCTATGTGTCCTCCAAAGTTCGTGTGCTGGAAACATAATCTTCAGTGCAATATTTTTGGGAAGTGGGGCCTAATAAGAGGTAATTGGATCATGAGAGCTCCACCCTCATGAATGGATTAATGCCGTTATGGGAATGGGTTAGTTTTTGTGAGAGTCAGCATGTTATAAAAGTGACTTCAGTTTCCTTTTTTTACTCTCTTTCTGCCATGGAATGAGACAGCTCAAAGGCCCTCACCAGATGTAGGCCCCTTGATCTTAGACTTCCCAGTCTTTAGAACCTCAAGAAATAAACCTCTGTTCTTTATAAATTAACCTGTTTCAGGCATTTTGTTACAGCAGCATAAAATGGACTAAGTCACTAATTTTTTAAGTAGATGAAAGGTTTTATATGATCTCAGTAACCAAAAATATAACCAGTGGATGGAAATAACAGAAGTGTAGATTTAGGCTAAATAAAATAAAGAAATTTGTTAAAACAGAGGTTATCAAAAACTTGATTGGTAAACAGAAAGATCCATGTCCTTGAATGATCATTTATCAAAAAGTTTGTGGAGGGAATTCTTACTTTAGATATAAGACTTGGACTAGTACCCTTTAAAGGCCCTTCCTACTTCCAAATACTATCACATTGGAGATGAGGTTTCAATGTATCAATTGTGCAGGTACACATATACTACTATAGCACTATGAAATTGTACTATTCAGTGTGTGTCAACCTGCTGATTGATATTTTATGTAAATGTTTGCCATTAGATTAATTTTCAGCAATTAAAAAAACCAAATATGTCATGGGAGGAACTACAAAGGACGTCTTCTACAGTTTATGACTCAGAGAAATATTTTGAAACATAAAGTTCACATCTTTGCTTATCTCTCTTTTGATCAGGCCATATATTCTGTTATTGCTTTGAAGAACAAAATTATGCTTAATCCATGTTATTTAAATTATAATGTACCTTGACTGAGAAATTCCATATTAGTCCATCATTTCACAGGTACTTTTGAAATTACCATTATTCATTCTCTTTGTCAGGCCTGAAGAGCATAAAATGACTTTTTAGTAGCAGACTAATTAAATCTCAAGATTTGCTTTGTGAGTATTTGTTCCACATTCAGTTTCTTGGTGGTACTTGATGACCCGTAACAAAAACTAACAAAGGTATCTACAATGGGCTCAGGACTTAACAGTTATACACTATGTTGGAAATGAAGCCCAACTTATAATTTTATGGATAAGTCTACCTCATATATGACACATTATATATTTTAATAGTTTCCCCTTGTTTACAAAGTAATAAATATTTACCAAAATAAATGCAATTGTTACCCAAAGGTACAAATAAGGCACAAGTCCTTTATTTTTGTTTTAATTCACAACCAGAGACACTCAGCAACATCCCTTGGGAATATTCTTCCAGAATTCTCTGTACTCATAGCTATACATATATAGATACATAAATTATGTACATGAATGGGATTAGTCCAAATGCAGAATTCTGTAACATCTGTTTTCATTTAACATCTCATGAGCTCTTGTCATGTCAATGAATATAGAGACTTATCCCTTAATAACATGGTAAGCATGCTGTTCCTGCCTGCTAGTATCCTTTTCTTAGAAAAACCACCCATTATATACTCCATGTTGTCCTAGTGACAAAAATAATCACAATAACCTCTCTCAACTTGGTGTGTGGCAGGGAAGGAGCTGACATAGTCTTGACAAATAAGAGTTCTCTACAGCCCTAGCTAGACAGCCTTCCTAAAACCAACCAATAATCCTGAGATTTAGTATACATGCAAACCTCAGAGATACAAGTATTGCAGGAACCAAACCACAATAAAATGAATATTGTATTAAAGCACTCACACTAATTCTTTTAATTTCCAACTGCATATAAAAGTTATGTTTACACTGTACTGTAGTCTATGAAGTATACAATAGCATTATATCTAAAACAATAATGTATATACCTTAACTTTAAAACATTTTATTGCTAAAAATGCTAATGATCATCTAAGCCTTCAGCAACTTGTAATCTTTTTGCCAATGGAGGGCTTTCCTTCAATCTTGATGGCTGCTGACTGTCAGGTGGTGGTTATTGAAGGTTGCATGTTCATGGCAATTTCTTAAAATCAGACAACAATGAAGTTTGCCTTATAGATCGACTCCTCCTCTCTTTAAATATTTCTCTTCAGCATGCAACAGTGTTTGACAGTATTTTACTCACAACAGGACTTTTTTCAAAATTGGGAGTCAATCCTTTCAAACCTACCACTGCTTTATCAAGTAAGCTTATCTATGGGGACAGTGCTGTGGCATAGCAGGTAAAGCCACCACCTGCATTGGTGCATATAGGCACCAATTAAAGTCCCTTCTGCTCCACTTCCGATACAGCTCTCTGCTATGGCCTGGGAAAGTTGTAGAAGATGGCCCAAGTCCTTGGGCCCCTGTATCCACATGGGAGACCCGGAAGAGGCTCCTGGCTCCTGGCTTCGGATCGTCACAGCTCTGGTCATTGCAGACAATTGGGGAGTAAACCAGCAGATGGAAGACTCTCTCTCTCTCTCTCTCTCTCTCTCTCTCTCTCTCTTTCTGCCTCTCCTTCTCTCTGTGTGTAACTCTGACTTTCAAATAAATAATAAATAAATCTTTAAAAAAAAACTAAGCTTGTCTAATACACTAAATCTTGTGTTGTCATTTCAACAATGTTCACCAGAAGTATATTTTAGCTCAAGAAACCACTTTCTGGGGCCAGCGATGGGGCATAGTGGGTAAAGCTGCTGTCTGTGATTTCGGCATCCCATATGGGCACCAGTTCGTGTTCCAGCTGCTTCACTTCCAATCCAGCTCCCTGCTAATGGCCTGGTAAAAGCAGTGGAAGATGGCCCAAGTGCTTGGGACCCTGCCACATATGTGGGAGACCCACATGAAGCTCCTAGTTCCTGGCTTTGACCTGGTCCAGCCCTGGCTATTGTGGCCATTTGGGGGAGTGAACCAGAGGATAGACGAGCTCTCTCGCTCTCTCTCCCTCTCAATAACTCTTTAAATTAATAAATCATTTTAAACAAAGAAACCACTTCCCTTGCTCATTCATAAAAAGCAACTAATTATGCATTAATGTTTTATCATGAAATTGCAGCAATTCAGTCACATCTTCAAGCTCCACTTCCAGTTCTCTTGCTGTTTCCACCACATCTGCAGTTACTTCTTCCACTGAAGTCCCGAATCTCTCAGTCATCCATGAGGGTTAGAACCAACTTCTTCCAAACTCCAGTTAATACTGATATTTTGACCTCCTCCCATAGGTCACAGATGTTCTTAATGGCATCCAGAACAGTTAATTCTTTCTAAAAGTGTTTCAATTTACTTTGCTCAGATCCCTCAGAACCACTAACTATGGCAGCTATAGCCTTATAGAATGTATTTCTTAAATAATAAGATTTGAAAGTTGAAATTACAACTTGATCCATGGACTGCAAAGTTGATGTTATTTGAGTAGGCCTGGAATAAAACAACAGCCTTTTTGCACATCTCCATCAGAGCTTTTGGATAATCAGGAGTATTGCCAATGGGCAGTAATAGTTTGAAAGGAATCTTTTTGTCTGAGCAGTATGGTTTTAAAAGGGGGCTTAAGATATTTGTTAAAACATATTATAGGCCAGCGCCGTGGCTCAATAGGCTAGTCCTCTGCCTGCGGCGCCGGCACCCCGGGTTCTAGTCCCGCTTGGGGCACCGGATTCTGTCCCCATTGTCCCTCTTCCAGTCCAGCTCTCTGCTGTGGCCCAGGAGTGCAGTGGAGGATGGCCCAAGTGCTTGGGCCCTGCACCCACATGGGAGACCAGGAGAAGCACCTGGCTTCTGGCTTCGGATCAGCACGGTGCGCTGGCCGCAGCACACCTGCAGCAGCAGCCACTGGGGGGTGAACCAATGGAAAAAGGAAGACCTTTCTCTCTGTCTCTCTCTCTCACTGTCCACTCTGCCTGTTAAAAAAGAAAAAGAAAAAAACATTATAAACAGATATGTCATCCAGGTTTTGTTCTATTGATATAGCACAGGCAGAGTAGACAACATAATTATCAAGGGCCCTAGAACTTTCATAAAGGTAAATGAACATTGGCGTCAACCTAAAGACAATAGCTGCACTAGACCCTAACAAGAAAATCAGCCTATCCTTGAAAACTTTGAAGCCAGGTATTAACTTTCTCTAGTTATGAAAGTCGTAGATGGCATCTTCTTTCAATATAAGGCTGTTTTATTTATGTTGAAAATCTGTTGTTTAGTGTAGCCACTTCAATTATCTTGGCTAGGTCTTCTGGATAGCTTGCTGCAGTTTATACATCAGCACTTGCTACTTCACCTTGTACTTTTGTTATGGAGATGGATTCTTTTCTTAAACCTCAGGAGTCAATCTCTGCTAGCTCAAACTTCTGCAACTTCCTTATATATTTCAATCTTCATGGAATTCAAGAGTTAGGGCTTTGCTTGGGGTTGGGTTTTGGTTTAAGAGAATGTTGTGGCTGGTTTGATCTTTTATCTAGACCACTAAGAACTTCTCCATATCAGCAATAGGGTTGCTTCTTATCATTCATGTGTTTACTGGAGTAGCACTTTTTAATTTTCTTTAAGAAATTTATCCCTGCATTTATAACTTGGCTAACTACTTTGGGGCAAGTTTAATTTTTGGCCCAGCTTGGCTTTCAACATGCCTTCCTCACTAAGAATAATTTCTGGCTTTTGATTTAAAGGGAAAGACTTGCAAATATTCCTTTCCCATGAATACTTAGAAGCCTTTGTAGGTTTAATTGGCCCAATTTCAATACTGTTGTGTCCCAGAAAATAGGGAAGCCCAAGGAGAGGGAGAGAGTAACAACATTTATCTATTAAATTCACTGTGTTATGTGGATGCAGTTTGTGGTCCCCCAAAATAACTATAAGAGTAACATCAGAGATCACTGATCACAGATCTCCATAACAGATGTAATAATAATGAAAAAGATTGAAATATTGTGAGATTACCAAAATGTGACACTGAAACATGAAGTAAGCACATGCCATTGGACAAATGGTGCCAACAGACTACCTTGACACAGGGTTGTCACAAACCTTCAGTTTCTAAAATGTACAACATTTGTAAGTTGCAATAAAGTGAAATGCAATAAAATGAGGTATGCCTGTATAAACACTGGAAAAAAGTCTTGCTTCCTTGGGGATTGAGAGTTATTAAGACATAATAAGCTGAAGTTGTTTGTTGCCATTTTCTCTAAGAAGGAAGTTGTGTGCAATACAAAAATTGAAGCCAGCATATAACAATAAACAGAGATAAGAGATGAGCAAAGATGAGAGTTAGAAACAAAGCACTGATTTATCTGAGGCCTTGATTTACCCATACTTGAAAGTCACCTCATATGACTACCATCAGTTCTAGCATAAGGCGATCCACATGCATACCTAAAAATCATTCTGCTATACAAAATTGTTTAAGAAAAACCATAGGCTTTATAGTGAAAATGGGGCTTGGGGGCACAGCATTCAAAAATTCAATCTGGGAGCCAACATCATTGTGTAGTAGGTTAAGTCTCCACTTGTGATACTAGCATCCCACATGGGCACCAATTCACATCCCAGCTGGTCCACTTCTGATCCAGCTCCCTGCTTATAGCTTGGGAAAAGCAACAAAAGATGGCCCAAGTGTTTGGGCCCCTGCCAGCCATATGGGAGATGTGGAAGAAGTTCCTGGCTTCAGCCTGGCCCAGTCTTGGCTATTGCAGCCATTGGGGGAGTGAACCAGCAGACAGAAGATATCTCTCTCTCTCTCTCTCTCTCTCTGCCCCCTTCTCTCTGTATAATTCTTTCACATAAATGAATAAATCTTTTTAAAACATTTAATTTATAATATATATACAGAAATATATGAACTTAATAGAAATGGTAAAATCTTAATTATGTTAAATGGGTAGAAAATCTATACATTCTATAATAAATGTTCATTTTTTAAAGACCTGAAGTTTGCTTGTGGAACTTATCAGAAGAGTTGCATGTAGCTTATGAGTTATTATGAACTGGTGGAAAGAGAATTATCTAAAATCAAATCAAAAGTTATAACACCAAATGTGATGGGTGGGACTTAAAACACACGAAATGAAATAAAGTAGCTGGTAAATGTGAGGTATGTGTGCAAGTTTTATGTATTCCTATGTGGCTTGATTCAGCTGAATGTACATTTCTGCTTTCACCTAGTGTTTCTGGCTGATGAAATCTCATAGCAGCAAATGGAGAAAATTCACCTTATGCTTATATTGTTTTCCAATATATAAATCATAATGGAATAAGCAAGTGTAATAGAAGTCTTATTTGATTACATAATCTAATAAATTTCCTTTATTGTTTAAGATAATTCCAGTTAGCTTTCTACCAGAGTCCTGAACAGTAATGGCTACGTAATATTCTATTACCTAATAATACCACATTTTAGATCCCAGGCTGGCTTTTTTGCATCTCTTAATATATTTCTAGACTATCTTTCTCTACTTACAGCTTTTAAGTGCCTAGAGATTGGAAACTCATGTTAATATTAACATAAATTACCCATCATTAAGAAAGTATACTGGTTAAATCTAAAGATGATTATCAAACTTCCAAAGTCAAATAGAAATGATTATTTGAATATTTACTGTTATAATCTATAACACAACTGATCTTTCAAATAGATCATTGAAAGTTGATGATCACAAAATTTTATTTTGGCCCTAACTGGGTCAGTTTCAGAATGATTTTTTATGGACTGTAATTCTTCAAAATTCACAGAAACTCTCACAGAAATTGCAATATTAATTCTTTTCAAGTCAATATTGTATCTCACATCACCAAACCCTATACATAAGACAATTTTCACTTTAGCTCTTGTTTGTAGCAAAAGGTTACATGCATTACTATGAACCAGGGACACTGATGTTCTGAGTGATTACCCTTGGGGTTGGGACAAAATCGTTTGGAGGATACAGCTAGTTCAGAATTTTCTTGCCAAGAGGAGAGAGCAAGCATCCCACAAACAAGTTGTTCCATACTATGGCTGTGACCTCCAGCCTTTAGAGAATAGTTTTTGCAACACAGATAAGGAAGCTAGTCAAGCATAAAAATTTTCCTTAAACCAATGTTAGCCTTGGACTTGTGTAATTCTTATAGTCATTGGGAATGAGCCAAGTGAGAAAAGGTTTTATCCTTATTTTTATCTGTATGATTTTTGGCACCATATAATTCTAATTCAAGTAATCAGTTAATTTGAGGGTACTTTCAGTTCTGGGGTAACCTAGGAAATAGGTCAGCATGACTTTTCTGTAAAAGGCCTGATAGTAAATATCTTAGGCTTTGTGGGTCATGCAGTCTCTATCTGAACTATTCAACTCTGCCGTGAAAACAGCCAGATACAACACATAAAAAAAATAGGCCTGGCTGTGTTCTAATAAAACTATTTATAAGAACAGACAGAGGATAGATTTGTCCAGTGGTTCAATTTACTAACCTCTGCTTTGAACAAATAGTTTTCTTTTAACAGAATCTTATAGCAGTCTCTGGAGACTTAGGGAAGGTCATACAAGCAGGAACCTGAACTCCCCTGCTACAAATACAGCAGATTTTATTTTTTAAAATAGATGGATTTTTGCATGAAATTAAGTTTGATTAAATAAATCCCTTTCTAACATGCAGAATATATTCAAAACTACTGATTCGACTAAACCTAAAATCCACTGCTTTTTTTTTTAAATCATTATTGAAAGGCAGAGTTATAGAGAAAGGTGGAGAGACAGTGAGAGAACGCAGTCTTCCATCTGCTGGTTCATTCCCCAAATGGTCACACTGGCCAGGGCTGGGCCAGGCTGAATCCAGGAGCCAGCAGCCTCTTCAGGGAGTTCAGGAGCCCAAGCACTTGGGCCATCCTCCACTGACTTCCCAGGCACATTAGCAGGGAGCTGGATCCTAAATGATTATGGGTGGTTTGCTATTTTTTGACAGCCTCAGCAATTCACTTAATGTTACAATTGACAAAAGCAATTAAATTTTTAATTTTAACAAATTAAAAATGTTGTCAGTTTACCATTCCTAGTCCATTTTGATTGCTTCTGAATATAATGTTTAACGTACCTTAAAATGTCCAAGAGAGGTGGTATGGTATATTGAAAAAGAGCTCTAAGCTAGGACACCATTTTGGCCCTATTACTGGAAAGCTGTCTTCTTCATTTTCAGATTATCTTCTTTACCTAGAACAGTGCATGACACCAAATGGTACGTTTACTGAATTGAGTGACTGGTTTCCATACATGGTATTATTAAAAATATTTTGTTTAATATGAAAAGTGGTTAATATTTCTACCCAATAAAGAAGACTATTTTACAGGAACACATAAATTCACTACTAGAAAACTAGGAAGATAATATATTCAGGTGGTTATATCTTTTCATATAGAATTGTATTTTTCCACAATCCATAAAGAATTTTTCTATCCTCCTTACTGAATAGACATTTAAAACATTAATACTTTGAGATTCCTTTTTTTACACTTAGGAAATAAACTCTTGATTATTTCAAAATGCTTATTTTTTGTCTACTTGAAAGGCAGAGAGAGAGAGAGAGAGAGATCTTTCATTCATTGGTTCACTCTCTAAATGCCCACAACAGCAAGGACTGAGCCAGGCTGAAGAATTTCATCTAGGTCTCCCACGTAAGTAGCAGGAGTCCAAGCACTTGTCCCATCAGCTCCTATCTCCCAGGATATAGTAAGCAGAAAGCTGTATTGGAAGTGGAGTATCCTGGCCTCAAATTGACACTCCAATATGATATGTGGGTGTCACAAACCCTAGCTTAACCTGCTATGCCACAACACCTACCTTTAATTTATTTTTAATTAACAAATTATGATTGTATATACAAGGAGTCTTCAAAAAGTACATGAAAAAACAGACGGACTTCAAAAATTTTGCACCAAAATAAACTTAGCCTTCAATTTCATTTTCCACAAACTTTTTAAGTACCCTCATATTCAGGGAATACAATGTGATGTTTACCATTGATGTATACCTTGGAGAAATATTTAGTCAAGCTAATTAACATATCCACACCTCACCAACATTTTTTTGTGAAGATGTTAAAAATATTTTAATTATCTTGTTTAAAAACTCATAAAGCCTAATCATTATTAGCTTTTTGACAAAAGGCATACCCTCAACAAGGATGAAATCTCTTGCAATTCTGAAATCCGAAAGGCTCTGGAAACTAAGAGGTTTTTGTTTAAAGAACTTATTTAACAAATTGGCCTATCCTAAATTTTATTAGGCAACAGTATCTGAACTGAACTGAATGAGGCTATTCACTGGTATTAATTTACCACCTATTAAAATCATAAATTCTGTTGTGAAATTAATGTTTGATTCTGCAGTGTTTACCCTAAACTCCCTGTGGAGTTAGAGAATATACATATACAATATTTGTTTTTACACGTCTACCAACTACACCAGACCTTGTCTGGTTGTTTTACAAGCTGAAGCCTAGAGCCTCACTCTAGCTGTTCTTAAGACATACCCCTGGTCCAATGTGGTCTTTTCTGCTGCCATCTTAACAGTTAAGGCAGCACAAACAGCTCAAAGACCATGCCTATCATGACGTCAGTGAGACAAAATAAATGTGTTTCGTGATCCTACTGAAAGTCAGTGTTATCACATTGATGGCCAAGGATTTGTTAAGAAACGACTTCTCAGGCGTTTAAAAAGCACCTATTTTCATGGCTGGATATTCGGCTGTTGAGGATCAGAGTTGTTACCAGCGATCAGCTTTGCAACGATATCTGCTCGATCAGTATTTACCATTTGGCTGATGCACATCTTAGGCAGTATGCAAGAATTTTTCTCACATTAAGTGTGAGCAGCGACAGATAAATGTGGAGAAAAAGTAACCGGAGGCCTTACACTGGCTCCGCTCCAGCAATAAATCCATCATTACTCTACAGAACTAGGACACTCCCCGCGTATCTCTCACGGACCCCACCCACCCTCTGGCCAGCAGGATTGTATTTAGGGACCTCAATTAGAGACCTTGTAGTGAGTAGGGAGGGTTACTCCTGTAACGCTACCAGTCGTGGGCCCGCCGACGCCTTAGGGCTTGGATAATAATGCAAATACAAAGCAAAGTTCCCACACCAATGTTTCCCGACAGCTTTTCCTCACAACCACAAGAAAAGAAAAAAAAAGACTCAAAATAACCCCTCTGAAAATCTCTCTTTGGAACTTAAAAATTAGTAGAGGTTAGTAGGTAACACGCCTAGCTGCAGCCCACCTACGTCGAGCAAGCGACCTCACACTGGCGGCACCACGCGGCTTCTACGCAGGTCGTAGACTCCTCCCTTCAGGAGGCTCACCCTCTCACTTTTCGTTTACTTCCGCCCCCACCACCACGCCTTCAACGCGCTTGCGCCGTTTTGATAGGCTTCTCGGGCATAAGTAATCTGAGCGCTGCCTCTCTGGAACCGCCCCCGCCACCTCTTCGCCCCGCCCACGCTCTACCGTCTCCCCCCCCCACCCTCCCGAAGTCTCGCGAGAGAAAGAACGCGTCGGTATTTTGCGGGCAACTAGCTCTCTCCCAGCAGCTGTAATTGCTGCTGCGGGAGAAATCGGAGCTGCTGTCGCCGGCACGCCCGCCCTCCCCCACTGAGAAAAGCCACCGCCTCTTCTCTCTGGCTCTTGGTGCACCTATCTTTGGGAGCGGCAACAGCAGTAGTCCCTGGACCCACTGCCGCCGCCTCAGGCGAAGCTCTACCGGTCATTCCCGCAGTCCAGCAACTGAGGGCGGCCCCCTGTCCGGAACCGGCCTCTCACTCTAGATCATCTACTCTGTCCTCAGCCTCACCCGGGACCCAACTCCCCACAGTCTCGCCGGGGTGGAGGACAACGAGGAGGAGACGAGAGTCACCCTTCCTCCAGGCGGCGCCGGCCCCCTCACTCGCGGGTGTGTCCTATAAATGGCGTCGGAAAGCGACACCGAGGAATTCTATGATGCCCCTGAAGATGTGCACCTAGGCGGCAGCTACCCTGTAGGGTAAGTAACTGCAGTTACGGCCCAGAAGCCGGGCATCGCAGTCCCCTGGCTTCTCCGGAGCCCTCCCCCTCCACCCCTCCCGGGTCCCGCTGTGTCCGCCACCGCTGTTCTCTCAGTCTCAGTTGAGCACTTCAGAACCCCGACATGGGGCTGCGTGTGTCGAACGAAGGGGACTCGCCCACCGTGGGCACCCCCATCCCCTTTCTGTGGTGAACAGCCCTCCGAGGCTCTGTCGGAGCTCTTTTCTCGTCCTGTCCAGCCTTCTGTGCGGTGGGACGGATTACTTCCCTGGAGCCGGAGATTTGTATTTGTGCGGTTCCGAGCTCTTACCTTTCAAACATCTGTTTTAGCCTCGGGGACCATAGATTAAAGGAGCAGTGACAGTAGAAATTGCACTTCCCAGGTTTTTTCTTCCTTTTCTCGCTAACTTAGCTGTTCGTTACAGAGGTGGCTGCCGACTCTCCTCTATTTGCCGCCCTCTTTTCCTTAACCCAGAACGAAAAGGAGCGGGGGCGGGGGGCGGTAAAGATTGGGTATTAAGAAAGTCCTCTAGCTGATGTACGGTGTTTTTATTGAAATACCATTATGCCAGGAGGCAAAGGAAATCGAAGACAAGATCCTTACCATTAGGGAGAATGCGGTCTGAAAGCGTAGCCGGACATAAATATACACAGCCGACTACGGAGGTACAAACAAGTGCTGAGTAATCTGTTGTTTGGAGGGAGAGTCCCAACTTCGTGCCCTTTATCCAATTCTGCAAGATGTTTTAGTGGTGATTAATATGGGTGATTCTGAGTAGGAAGTGCAGAGTTGGAATGCTTTGCTTGACCAGGACTTCTGCTTAACGTACTTAACCACTCTTCCACTTTTCAAAGTTGGAACAGTGTTGAAAGCGTCGTTACCGAACTCAGGGACGTGCGTGCAAGTAGACGCAGTTCTTTTCCCACTGTAAGAACTTAAGAATTGGTAAAATTTGTATGTTAGTGTAAATCACTAATATAGTTCTGTGAGTTCAACTGGCTTCAATTCATGTGGTTACCCTGTGGAAGAAATACCCTGTTTGATGCAAATTAAGTTATCCATACATTACAGAAATTATTCTGAAACCTAATGTATATTATACACAGTATATACCACAGTAGTTACAGCAAGAAAGAAAGAAATGTACATTAGTAGATTGCAGATGTATGTGGTTCCATCAACCTTCATGTCACCACTTTTGGGTGGCAGTGGCAAATCTCGAGATGGCACTGAATCTCCTTCAGGTTCAATATCTGAAACAAGTTAATAGCTGTAGAGGATAGGAAATACATTTGGATTTGCAAATACATTAGAGTCCTTCGAAATTAATTGTGTGTGTTTCTGTGTGGTTTTCCCTTCAAAGTAATGAACTGTTAACTCTGGTTAAATGAGAGGCCAAATCTTTCAGTATTTGTGGTGTGTTTCGGGTCAGGAGGGGAAGTAACAGTCCTTTTTCATGATTCTTTCGATTTAGAGCTATGAGGCAGTCATTCCTTTTCAATGATTAAAATAAGTTAAATTTCAAAGGACAGTTAAGTTTTATCAGGACCTGTGTAAATGCCTAGTACCTGGCACAGAAAACATTCAACTGTTCAAATCCTTCTTCCTTTCTTGGCATTAGCAAATTTGTTAACTTTACACAGTGCTTACTTTGGGAGGAAGTATACAGAACTTGGAACTATTTTACTTATCTAAACCGAATGAGTCATGTTGATATAGTTGATAGAGTCACTTCTTCCCCTATGGGATAATACAGCTTCTCAAGCACTTTGATACTAGGTGAAAAGTTAAAAAGTCCTTTGGGACCTAGCGTTCTAATTTCAACTCTAACCTGCCCAAATACTGAGTTCTGTGGATAAAACTCCGAGGTTAGTTTGTGGATTTCACAGCTCCATGCAGTATTAGAGGATTTAGAAGAGAATGGACTCTTCTTGAGAATTGCATCTGAAAAGAGCTAGCAGAGTGGAGAGGACAGAAAAAGATAGGCAGCATTTACATTTTCTTCTTTCCCTTGTGGCACGTTTTGTCATTTGCATAAAGTACTGTGGGGAGACTTGGCCAGGCAACTGACAATTTAGAAATGCAGTGAGAAATCTTGAGTTATGGAAACAGATGGCATCACTCAATGTTTGGTTATCAGAAATATCTTCTGTCCCTGGATGTGAACTGGTGTGGCATACCAAGTAAACTAATAAGAGGTTAATGGACTAAATTGGGGTACTTGAAGAAATGTTTCTTGCAATTGTGTGTTTTGGGAGTATACATTTCATTTCACCAAATTGTATAAACTGAGGCGGCAGTTGAGATTTATCTTGTATGTTTTATTGATCGGCAGAATCCGAATGCACAGTCCATTTCCTAGAATGTATTATGAATGTCTTGCATTTCTAAAACAACAGTGTCTTCAGTTTTGTTGATCTACTCTTTGAGAGCAAATTTAATAAGTTAAGATTTAGACCAGTTTTTTTAATAGAAAGACTTTTGAGAAAGACTTTTTTCTTTTTTTATTTATATAAAGAAAACAGATTTCGTGGATTTCATATATACAATTTTAAGCACATGATGATACTTCCTGCCCTCGCTCCCTCCTTCCTTCCTTTCTGAGAAAGACCTTTGAATCCAGTGTAGCTATTTTTCACAGTGGAAGATCATCTCTACTTGCCCAGCTTTTTGCAATGTCTACCACATTTATAATGTTTTATTTTAATGATATTTTAGGTCAGGTTCCCTTCTTAATTACATATGAGGAGCCTTAGTCTCAGAGAGATTAAGAGAATTATCCTAGGAAACACAGTTTTTAAGTGGCAGAGCTGGGATTTGATACCAGCTCTTTAGACTCCTAGTCTAGGAATTTTTTGTAGTACATTGCAGCTGACCCACACTGTGTGTGGAGGGGAAAGAGAGTAACACGCGGGGGGAACTCCTCCCCTCAGATTCTGTTGTAAAATGCTTTACCAACTGGCTGAATTGAACTGATACGTCTTTATGAAACCAATAGCCCAAACTTTTCAGTTCTCTTGGTTAGGAATTCCTGTTTTGTCTTTCAGAAATATGTGTTTTTGTTTTGTCAGATAGGAATTTTATAAGCCTTTTAACAGGTAGTTGGGGCATCTAGTTAAACCCCTTCATATAAGGTGTTATGAAAATTGAAGCCCAGAGAAGGAAAGTGGCTTGTCCAAAGTGCCATAGCAGGGTAATGACACAACTAGGACTAGAACCCAAATCAGTTTCTTTAGTCTTGAGTAATCTCCACTAATGTTCTGTCTTTTGATGTGGGGGATACGGGGGTGGGGGGGGGGAAGAACTGTGGTATAGTAGAATAGAGCCCTGGACTGTAAATCATTTCACTTCCTCATCTTCAAATTCAAGAGATTACATTCTTGAGAACCCTTCCAACTCTAAATATATGTTATTGTATTGAGGTTTATTACTATGCTTTTATTGATAAACTTTGGTTCTTGGGAAATCTTTCCATTTTTTTTTTTAACCTTTTAGTTTAACAGACTTAATGCCTTTGGTATATGGTTCAAGACCATAGATTTGAAATGAAGTATTTACTGGGTAAATTGTATTTGTGATGAATGCGCCTACTAACTCATGGGGATTATACCTACATACACTAAAGGCTGACACTGAGACCATGTAATAAAGTAACATTTTCAGCACTCTATTTTTTTTAACGGAAGCCAAAATATTTTTGAGGCCTTGGAAAAAGGATAGAATCATAACATTTTTAGAGTAGGAAGGGACTAGAGATGATTTAGCCCAGCCTCCCATGTAAATGAAAGTGAAACCCAGGCTCAAAGAGAAGTGTCACATTGCTGATTAGTGGCAGATTTGGAACTAGAACCCAAATCTCTTAATTCCTCATTTATCCCATGTTGCCACATCTGTGGAAGGAGGGAAAGTATTTCTGGGTATTGTTGCTGTGGGTTTCTAGCACTTACCCTGTTAGCTCTTAAGATGCTCTGTAGCTCTCTAAGGAGACTGTTTCTTTATATTTTGCCCTTCAGAGAACGTTGACTATTCTAGGATCCTAACATTTGCTCAATAATTTTCTTCAAGTCAAGATGAAAAACAGTGGCAGGGTAGCTTATTTAAGAACAGTGGTTGTTACTTGTGTTATTTAATTTACTTTTAGGAATCTAATGTTCACCGCAGTCTACCATGTTTAGATTGGAGAAATGGCAAAATCTTAAGTCATGGGAACCGAGATCAAATTGTCCCTAAGATTTCGTAGGTCTAAAACCTAAAAAGTTGCATAGCTGCCTTTGTTGAAAACTTAGCTTCTTGCTTCTTTTAAA